ACTCAATTTGAACAATCCTACCAGGTACTGTTGAAATGTATTTTTATTTATGTTTGTGTATATCGTAAATTTAAAATAGTTGAAATATTTATATTGATATAAATGGTCTTCTAAAGGTAAGATTTTGGGTCTTACCAGATTTCTTATTAGGGCACCCATTTTGTAATTAAATAAATGCTATTATTTTTAAAAATAATTATAATGGCACCCATTTTGTAATTAAATAAATGCTATTATTTTTAAAAATAATTATAAATTGTGAACTAAAGCCAGAACATTGAGCTTTTTTATGTACAGTATTACTGTATTTTTTCCCTACTATTGGTCAATAAAGGCCAACTCAGACAGCGTCGGCCGACGCAGCCCGACTCAATTTATCGTCGGGGACAGTCTTAAGCCGTCGTGACATGACTGCCCCCGACGCACACCATCGCGTCTGCGTTTAACTCACACAGACCCGACGCGACAACAAATCGCGTCGGGCTGCGTCATACGATGCTGAGTCGGCCTTAAGGCGAGACTGTTTTATACCTGTTTCACAAACATATTTTTTTTAGAGATTGTCGGAGGGCAGAAAAAAATAAAATTGTGTTTTCTTATTTAGCAAACGGTTTTGCAAAAAACATCCAGATGGAGTAGCAAATAAAAATATAATATTATTGGTGAATATAAACAGTGTAATAATGGGATGGTTAAATACTTTAAATCTATATAATTAAGAAGAAATATACATACCTTATTTTTGAAGATTTCAAGGCAGCGGCGGGCTTAATAAAAATAAAGAAAAAGTTTTATTTTTTCAGAGATTTCCATTTTTTCATGGCAATTTTTTAATTGGCAAAAAATAAAATTTTATTTTTATTTGAAGTCATCACCATTTGTGGGCGGCGGGTATGCTAAACAATGTGTAAAAGAAGTCTCACCAAAGAAAAAAAAAATGTTGAAAATAAAAACCAAGTGCACATTTGTAGAAGCAACTGGAGCAGTGGTACCGTATGTGCCTTATATACTTTACTTTAATCTCATGGATGTTTGCTAAAAAATATTTTAGCTCTATTTTATTTTACCTCTAGTACTAGAGGTCTAGTACCAGATCTGGTATTGTTCAGGTCTAAAGATCCGGTACTGGATTCGTTTGTATCATGTAGATCCCATATCTCATCCGTTGTATAAAAAATCAGGTACCTATCCAGTTGAGGCCTAATGATCAATAAATTAACGATTGAGGCAAGGGCCAGAATATCAGGTGTAAAAAATTCATCATTACTATCTCGGATGAATAGACGTTTTGTTATTACTTATAGTCTCTTTGTTAACTTTAAGGCACTAATTTAACTGAATGGTATCAATTGTAGGAAAACTAAAATATACACATTTATTGGGCCTTTCAAGAAAGATTTTATGCTTGATTTGACTTAATGAATAGTAGCCACAGGGAATGAGGCTATGAATATGATACATAACTCTGCGACAGTCGCACTGACATGCACAATATTTCATTATCGCTCTATGGTTGCGCTTTCACTGCCGTATCTTAAGGCAGATCCGGACCTCTTGGCAGAGCTATAAAAAACACAAACACAGCACATAAAAAGTAAATACTAAAATAACATTACAACAATAATGAGCATTCAAAATCACTTTCATATAGGCCTAATTAAAAATTGATCAATCTAAAACATCTAAACATCAGGTACATCTATCCATTAATATATTTAGGATGCTAAATATGTGATACAGTAAAATTAATATCACCACCCAAAATAGAATTGATACGAACCTCACCTTACACACACCACTTTAATACTCTTGAGTGAATTTCGTAGTGGGATTATACAAGTTACAACCCACAACTCACTTAGCACCGTCTGCGACAGTGTCCTTCTCAAAACACAACAAGCTTCAGCGTGTGTCAATTTCAATAAAAATGTGAAAAACTAAAGCTAAAATACACCTATTTTACCAGGTTAATCAGCATTCTTACCAAATACTCATTACAAAGAAATAGGCGCTCCTAATATTTGTATTATTTCAATTCTAAACGTCATTTTAGAAAGAGTCAGACCTTTGTTATTGTTTTCTCTCTTATTACTCTGAGGTCAACTTGTACAATTAATTAATATATTTTGAGACTTTTTTGAATTTTACATACTAATTTTACTATATATTGTAATCAATAAATATAATAATTTATTCCATTTACTTTAAATTACTTAATAATATCTAATCGTATAATAAATACCCATTTAAAGAGACAAAACTAATTTAATTTTAGAATAGACCCAGGCCTATGTCATAGTTCAAGGCTTGAGGAGTTCTCTCTTCCGCTCGCTAGATTTGTTTACGGCCAAAAATATGAGACTTTGAACAAGAATTTGTGACTGATATAGTTGCTCCTGCCATAATTTTTTAAAACTCCCAATATGAAATCTTCCCGGGAAAGTGTTAACGTTACAAATGAGCTATTCAGGAGGTCAAGGCAATCAAGTAACAAAATATCAACATGCATCAGAAAGTTCGCGGAGCAGAAGACAGCAGAATCACCCTGTGTAAACAAGGTAGGCCAGGCCCAAGGCTACTAGTAGTAGGGTAGGCCTAGGTAGTTTGGCTTAGCCTAGAGTAGTAGGCTAGGCTAGTGCGTCTTCTTTTTCAACACTCAGAAAAGTACACGTTCAGTCAGGATATCTTTCTGAGATAGACGCACTTCACAACATGTCCCCAAAACAGTGAAGCAATTGGTCTATTTTTATTATGGCAGTGAAGTGGCTATTGTTACACCATCAGTCTTAAAGCCCCATTCCCAGCAAAATTTCACTAAAAACTGACTTTTTTTAGAAAATATGCATTTGCATTACTCCAATTATTATAAGTCATGGAAAAATATTGGCATGAATTTTAGTTTTATGCAAAACAATAAAAAAAAAAGAGAAATACAGACTAATTCTCATAAAATATTACCATTTTCTCGACGATTTCATCGTTACTAGGCAAATTCAGAGGTTGTAGATCGCATCTACTGGAATATTCTCGCTTTTATGTATACTTTATACAGTCAATAAAGTGCGCCCTCTCTAATGAGATTAGTTTTTGTACTTCGCATCTCGCACAATGTGGTCGTTCGCTTAGGCTGAGATATGTTTGTTTAAGTGTCAAAATCTCAGTCAGAATCAGTTTTTTAACAAATTTTAAATAATTCCTATGAAATGTTATATTCACAAGTGTCAATACTAGCAACGGAAAATATCATGTCGTCCGTTTTTATGTGTGATAACAGAACCTAAATTGAGGTAAAGCTAGGCCTAGCCTAGCAGCGTTGGATAGGCTAATTTGCTAATGTTTTCGGCGCCTACGATATTTCTTCTCACGACCTATCTCAAAATCAACATGAAAAATTCATCCGCATTTATTTTTTGTGTGGAACACAAAAAATCAAATTTCAGTCTTATTTTACATTGTTTTAATGTCTAAATTCAGTTAAACTAGCGATTCCGGATTATATTTATAAATCTTTATAACACTAGTATATTCAATCAGAATTAGGAATTTGTTTAGGACTTATGTAACAATAATTATTGGTGGTTGCCTTTTTTTTCATTTAATTTACCAGTACTTCAAAAAAGCTATCATGTTGGTCTGCCTTTCCTGTGCTCTTTCATATCAAGTTGCCAAACTGCTTTAAACCAACAAATATTCAATTTAACACTATATAATTACAGTATATTATCAGCCTGCTGATCAAAATATTTTGAAATTTACCTTTTGTAGCAATGCCTGATTTTAATATTAAATATTATTTTTGCTTTAAAATGATTCAGCCTGTTCCATTAGCTGGAAATGTAAAAGCAACATTTATCGTAGCATTCAGTTCGGACGACACGTTGATGGCCTCCACTCATGGTGATCATCACGTACGTGTCACAGATGTACGCACTCAAGAATGCATAAGGACTCTTGTTGGACACCCTAGAACACCATGGTGCGTTACCTTCCATCCATCGTCCAATGAGATCCTGGCATCTGGCTGCTTGGGCGGTGAAGTACGAGTGTGGGATTTACATGTATGTGGTTTACCATTCATTGTAATTCTTATTGCGTTTGTTAACACCATGTAGAATACCTGCTCTAAAAATTAAGACTAAAGCCCAACTCGGATAATGTCGTCTGACGCGATTTGTTGTTGCATCTGATCTGTGTGAGTTAAATTCAGACGTGATAGATTTGCATCGGAAATGGTCACGTCCTAGAATATTAACATGTTTGATATTCTCACAACGACCTGAAGACTGTCCCCGTTGATTAATCACATCGGGTTGCATTGTACGACGCTGTCCCAGTTGGGCTTAAGAGAACTGCCTACATATGTGGAAGAAATATATGTAGGACTCTATTAATGTAACATAAATTTTTGCCTATAATATTTACTACACATGTGTGTATGTTTATTATATTTTTCATTGTTTTCTTGTTATTTTTTGTATGTACAGTGCTAAGTTAACCTTGGTTCTCTAAATTATTTATGTCCTTAAATTTTGCACCTGTTGTTTGTATCTTTTATGGATGTATAAGGATTAATCGAATTTCAAGTGCACTTACTAGTAGTCTTTTCATGGCTTCAGTTGTAATTCACTTTGATAGCAGAGCCATGATAACACAACAACATAACAATCTTTTCTTTGTGGACATTTTAATTAATTTTGAAAAGCTTCCAAGATGTCACCTGATAATATAATGTATTTTTTTTAATAAAAATTTGGTGAATGAAGAACAGGGATTTTTGTTTGTATTGTGTGTATTTTTTTTTTACCATTGACTCTTTATGAAGATACATTATCGTATCATCATCATTATTATTGTTCTTATTAATTATTATCATTGAGAATGTTATTATAACTATTATCTTATATTTTCTTGTTATTACCACCATTTTTTTTTTGTTTTGTATTAATTTTGTACTCTTTTTTTGTGATGTGGTGTACCAACTTATATTTCGAAATTACACAAATAAAGAAATCTTAAATCTTGATCTTATTTGTCCTTTAAAACAGGGTGGTAGTGAAGTATGGGTGTCTGAACATCATTCTACCATATCGTCCCTGGCATTTCATCCTTTGGATCAAGTACTTGCAATTGCCACTAGTAACCAGATTTTCCTTTGGAACTGGAGCCAGCCGAAGGCCTTCGCTTCCGTCAAGACAGCATGCCTAGCTGAGCGAGTCAGGTTTGTCACAATAATATTTTATTATAATAAGAATAATAGTAATAATAATAAGTGAAAATTATTTTTAATTTGTATTTTCTATTCAATAATTAATTAATGTAACAAAGAAGGGATATTCAATTTTCTTCATCTGTGTGACTTTCTTGTGAAAGAATAATACAGGAAAAAGAAATGGTCTTATTAATTATTAATAGTATTTAAGAAGGAATAATTTATTTTAAGAACGAATAAATTTGAAAACTTAGCTGTGAAATCAGTAGCAGGGGTTTTATAAGTAGGGATAATGAGAACAGAATTAAGAATTTCATGAAGGTTAAACCGAGTAAAATGCAATCTGTCAAAAAGAAATTATGGGAAATATATTCATATATTCTTATATGTTCATATTTGATTTGGAATGCAAGACACTCAAATATCTGGGAAAATGTGAGGGATCTGCTATTAATGAATGAGGTCTTACTTGAAATAGAAAATAATAATGGCAAAAATTGTAAAACCTAATTTTGAATAATTAAGAATAATTAATCTTGTAAATTAAATTATGAATAAGTAATTTATAAATAAAATGTAAATTTTTTTTTAAATAACTGTAAATTCTAATCTTGAATAATTAACTTGTAAATAATTGTTAAACCTAAATTTTGAATGATCATTTTTATCTATTGAATTTTAATGCTATTCCTTAATGTTTGTTTTTGTGTTTGTTTCTTGTTTTTCATATTTGAATTGACATTTTGCCTGCGTAAGCCTGTTAATTCAGGCTGCATCCTGGTTTTTTGTGAATGTTTTCTTTTGTATATTTCATATGAATATCAATTAAGAATAATTTTAACATTATAAAGAATATAATGTTGTTATTCCGGCAGGTTGATACGGTTTAGTGCTCGCGGCGATTTTCTTTTGACCGGCATCTCCAACCTACCTAAGGATGACACTGATTTGAATGTTGCACGCAAGTAAGTTAAAATGTGCATTAACTAATCATCTGGATATTTAATATCTAGAAGCAACTAAACACACTCAACTTTCTCATCTTCAGAGTGAAGCTGTAGCTTATTGGTAAAGATGCTCCCTTCAATTCTCAGGGTCCTGTGTTCAAATCTTAACAGGCCAGGATTTTTTTAATGACAAAAACAACTCCACTCCCTAAGCCTGATAATAAGACTTAGGCTATGTTCTCACACAGCAGCTAACGGTTAGCAAGATCCAGATCCTGCTAACAGTTTGCTGCCGTGCGTCCATGCGAGAAAATCCCGATCCGGATACCAACAATATGATGATCGAATCACTGGCCATTAAGAAACTAGAAATTGTGAACGTGTACGTGTGATTGGTCGATGATAGAAACACCCTCAACTTGCTAATCGATAGCGCTTGCTAACTGTTAGCGTATTCGGATACCGCTAACGGTTAGCGCTAACCGATCAGGCATTCTCATGCAGGTGCTAACGGTGAGCGCTAACGGTTAGCTCCCGATCCGGATACTAGGACTCTCGTGAGAACCAGGCTATAGTTTTAAAGCATCAATTTATTAGTCATCATGTTAGATGAGAAATATAAATAATAAATTTGCTTCTCTCATGTAATTGTTGGTGGTTATTTTTAGAATAATTCATAGTTTAGTTTTTAATTCCTTTGTGTTATTTAAGAGTTATGATTGTGTAATGTGCTATATAATTCAGTTACCATTTCCATTACCAAATATAAAAGTAGTTTACTTTCCTCCTGAAATTTTATGATGATTTTTTACTGATTTGTGTTTCTCAGATTAATGTTTAATAGTGGCAGCAATCCTGATATCGCATTCCAAAGACGCGTGAGAAGAGTCTTCCAATTCAGACAAGATGACTCTGAAGACCTTGAAAGCAATCACTATCCTCACTCTTCAAGGCATAGCACTGAAGTACCATACACACAAACAGCTGAATACCGTGTCAGACGAGCGAGTGCGCGTAGGGATAGGTTGCACATGGCAGAGGCCGCATTAACACGTGCGTCAAACCAATCCAGAGAGATCCACAGCCTGTTGTCCTCTAGACTGGATGGGAATGCCATGACATCTAATGATCTACACACTGATCTTCATGCGCTTCATCAAGATAGCAGATCTCTCTTAGCGCAGGCCAGGGATTATGCTGCATCAGTAACCTTGGAAACAGTAGCCAACCGGGCAACTGATGCATTGGTCTCCGGGGAAGTTCCCAGACCAGAAGATGCAGTGTCACATAGGGAAGTTTTTGACTCTGTGCTTTCAAATATGCACAATCATTCAGAACCAGAACTTCCTGATAATGCTTCTGAGCTCCAGAACCTCAACGCCTTGACCCAAAGGAGGACCAATTCTGTGCTGCGGACAGCTATAGAGCAAAGAAATTTCAGGGAACGCAGGAATACCAGGCTCCCTACATCCTCAAATTCTGCAGTGACCCAGTCTGAAAGTAACGATAGTCAAAGCAGTATACCAACTGCTTTGGAGTTGCGGACAATTTTTCATCCAGAGCTTAGTTTTCCCTCAACGACAGAAGTAACCAGTAGAGTTAATTCTAATACTTCTAATTTAAGTTCTCCCATGTCTGATGAAGCATCAGGGTCACGTTCTGTACCACATAGTGGAACTCGTGGTGAGGCCAGTACATCAAGTTCTTCAGTTGAATGTCCCCACTCAAGTACAAGTACTCCAGCCGAAGCTTCACATTCAAGCCGCACATTTTGTAAGTTTCATTTTTTAACTTTCCAGACAACAGCTTCTGAACAGAATCAAAACTGTTGGAATATCTTAAACATTCTCTTCATATGGAGTGGGATTTGTTGAACATTTATTGGCACAAGGAAGGAATTTACAAAATACAACATTATGAAGCAGCAATGCTGTAGGAAACAATGGATACAAAATTAGTTGTAAACCTAAATACATACACAGATATAATGTACTGTTGAGAGTACTGTCAAAGAATATTATTACACTTCAAATTATTTAATGATTCCTTTTTTTTTTTAATGTGAAATAAATTTAGCACAAGAACAAGGTTGTAGTTATTGGCCCAGTACGTCAAAAGAACAAAACCAAATGCAGAGAACACAGTCCTCTTGTCAGTCCTCATCCTCATCGTCTAGTCGATACAAGTGTCCGCACCATGAGCATCGCAAAGCTATGATGAGGAAAAATGTCATGGAGAGGAGGGAGCGTTTAAGGGAACGTAACTTGGAAGAAACCAGGAGAATAGAACAAGATGGCCAGAGGCCTAATGATGCCGGTGAAGAATACATTTATTAACTATCTATTTAACTCAGGGAGGCCTAGAAAAGCCAAAAACCTTTACTTAACAATATAGAAGATATATTTTCTGTGGTTCTGTACTGTTTCATAAAGGAAAACATAAATGTCACATCGTGTGCATGGTTTAAGAATGGTTTAGAATGGAAATGGTATGATATGGACTGAATTTTGAAGTTCATTCACAGTCAGCAGCAGAGATACCCCAACAAGGGCCCAAGGTTCCAAATCGACTTCAATCAGGCCCATAATTTTTTGAATAAGCAGCTAGTAGGTGCCTGTAAATTGTAGACTTTGAAAATGCTATTTCAAAATAGTTTTGCTTGATGGACTTTGAAAATGCTATTTCAAAATGGTATTGCTAGATGGACTTTAAAAATGCTATTTCAAAATAGTGTTGCTCGGTGAAATGCTTGTCGTCTTCCTGACCTGATGCCCAGGGTTCCAATACAGGGCTCCTTTTCCTCTCAGATTCCTGTTGGCGTCTGCCTCTGCACAGTTATGAATACTGTCGGAGGAGGTCATGAAAGAATAATTAGTAAGGCTTGACATGCTTGTGTGTTGTGTTGATTCTGTATCCAATACGAAGATTCCAAGTAAAACAAATTTGCATGGGTGAGACTGAAAATGAAAAATTCTACCCCCTGGGGCTGAATGCGTAAAATTTGGTAGGTCTTCCAATGAAAATTGCTTCAGGGAAGTTCATATGAACTTTGAAGTGCAACATAAATAATATTAAAAGAGAAATGGTACAAATTGGATCTTGTAACAGTATTACTGTTGTCTGCATGACCTTTTTAATGTTATATTACAGCAGTGGGTCTCTCCACCATACGAAGAATTGCAAGAAGAGTCCAAAGTCCAGGTCCCTTGACAAGATGCTGGTCATCAAGGCGGAAAAGCTTACAGTATCGTGGGAGGTTGACATTGCCAGCAGATGATACTCATCGTGATGTGCGAAGGTCAAGGGTTGGAGTTCATAGGTTATCAAGAGCAATGGAAAGGTGTGTGTGTGTGTGGGAATGTACTCGAGAATTAAATTCACTCGAGAGATATATTTTGTGCTTAAAAAATACAATACATCTCATAGTATAGTTGTATTGCATAGTTGTTGTTCTACAGGAGCAGCAGTAAATTTCATGTTATTCACAGAAGTTTTGTCAACAATGGCATCAAAACAATGATATCGATTTCTGCCTAGAAATGTTTTTCTGTTCATTACTGTATATTTGCATATTACAGTAATGTTATATTAAGTGATATTTTCTTTTTTAAAATATCTTTTTTTTATAGAGTTCGACCGCCTCAGCAACCTCTACATCGGCACTATGACGTCAGTATCTTCGACGAAGAAGTAGGAAGACCTTCCAGAAATGTGCATGCTGTAGTGAACAGGGCCATTGCTGGTGATTTTTTTTTCTCGTTTGTTGACACACTAAAGCCCTATCCAAACTATTAAATTTGATTTGATGAAAATCATGTAACATGCCGAAATATGGCCATGATGACATCACATCATGACCATATATAGGCACACCATGACTATATATGGGCATACAACATTTTTTTATCAAAGAAAATTTGATAGTGCGGACAGAGTTGCTACAATAAATAATGTTTTATTTGAAGTTTCGAGATTTTACCAGAGGTCCTCCTAATATCAGTGGCCTATCAGGTCACCTTCTTTTAATAGGGTTTAAACAGATAGATAAATAGACATTATAGCTTGTGTTTTTACTTAGATTTTAATTTTGTGTTTTTTTATTTCAACAAAGATGCCTTCAATATTCGAGGAGAAACTGCAGTAGCCAATAACATTAAGAATACTACACATCGTCTTCAGTGGTGGGATTTCACAAGACAAGAGTTGCCAGATATCAGTAATGGTAAGGAACTTCATCCAAGGTCAATAATATAGAGTCCTGCTATCAAATTTTATTTGACATGCCTAAATATGACACATGACACATCATGACTATATATGGTCATACAACAATTTTTTTCAAAGGAAATTTGATAATCTGGACAGAGCTTTAACTTTGTTATTGGGTGTATTCGACTGGTTAATTTCGTTGACTACAATTTTTTGTTAAGTATTATTTTCATTCGACTGGTTCGTAAAATAGTCTTCGTTGACAACGAAAAGTAACGTAACCTGAGTGCGTTAATCTGGTTAAGTTATCCACGTGACCAAAACAAACATGGCCGATTGGTCAGTTTAGAAACAACATTTGCGTTATTATAATTTAGATTAAATTTTAGAAAGTAAAAATTATATTTACTCACATGAAGTCAAAAAATATTTGTAGCCTAACAGAATTAAAAAAAACTGGATGAAAACATTTCCTTTACAAAAAATCTATACTGCCACAAACCGAAGCAATCTTGATTGTGCAGCGTGTATCGCGGTTACTATACAGCCATTTTGTTTTGTCTTCGTTAAGTAGGAATTTACCACTGCGCAGGTGGCCGTGGTTTAACAAATAAAGACCGGTCGAATACGGCCATTGTTGTATATAATTTACTGTATTCATGATATGCAGTCTACTAGCGCCAACATATGTGAAATGCTGTCTAATGTCTGTTATTGTTAAAATAGACGGCTACAACTACCAGTACCAGTACTAGAAGAGGTGGAAACTAGGATGCCTGATGCTAGCAACAATCCACACACAAAGTCAATAACAATAATGTATAAGAATATACTGTAATAGATAAATTATGAATTTATGAATTGTTTTTCATGACAGAAAATGCAAGTGTTATTGTTCCACACTGCAAGATTCATAACGATAATAGTTGCGATTTATCACAAGACAGTCAACTTTTAGCAACGTTTGTTCCAAGTCCCTATGGTTTCCCTGACAATGGTGTCTTAGCAGTATACTCACTGAAGCAACACAATTTTGGCCATGTTTTATATACAAAGAGTTTTGGTAAGTAAATTGTTGAAATGTCGTTATATGAGGGCGGAAAAAAAACAATAAAATTTTGTTTTCATATTAGAAAAAAGTTTTGCCAAAAACATCAAGAAGGAGGAGAAAATAAAAATAAAGTTTTATTGGTAAATGTAAACAGTGTAGTAATGGGATGGTTAAATGCTTCAAATTTATATAATTAGGAAGAAATATACATATTCTATTTTTGGATATTTTAAGGCACCGGTGAGCATAATAACTTTTTTTTTTTAAGTTTCCATTTTTTCTCGTAAAGGCAGGTGCGCTAATTTGCCAAACATAAAATTGCATTTTCATTCGAAATATTTATTATTGGCAGGCGGCGGGTTTGTTAAACAAGGTGTAAAAAAGTCTCGCCTCAAGATGCATGCTTTCCAATCTCATGCGCCTGGGTTCAAATTTGAAGTCAAATGGTTTTGTAATTCCCAAAGTTAACTTAGGCCTAGCTAGTAAATTTGAGAGCGGTATGTTAAAATTAACTAAAAATGATGTAAATGTGATATGAAATAACTTTGTAACAATTGAAGATCACATTTAGCAAATCATTGATTTTTCAAGCAATCATTTCAGTAATTCTCACTTGATATTGATATTACAAAATTTATTATTTAATTATTTATTTATTTATAACAGTTTGAGCCACATGCAATACAGCCCAGGAGAGACCAAATAGAATTTAATCTATAAATTACCAGTACTCAATTGAGCAGCTGAATTCATCTATTGATAATGATAAATAATCCATTTTAATGTATTTTTATTTACAGGTCCAAATGCAATTTGCACCAGTATTTCACCAATGGGTGGCTATGTAACTGTTGGCTTGGCTGCTAGACGGCTTCATTGCTGGCATCAGTCATCAAGGAGGGTGAGCTATGTATTCCCATTAAATTAACCTTGATGGCCATACAAAATTGAGCTATCCATACAGTACTGTATCAAGTTTTATCGGTATTATCTCCCAGTCTGCTTCCCAATTCACCACCAGAAGGACCTCACTGGAAACAAGTCTTCCGACTTAGTGGGTTATCATTGGTGAAATTCACGCCGAAATACTCCTATCCTATCACAACAGTGTTTGATCAAATTTTCTCTTTCTTTTAAACATATCTAATAATACAAATCTTATATCTTTTATCTGGTGGAAGTAAAAATGCTCTAGGTCTTCAGACATTTCACCTGATCAAACATTTTCTGTGGCGTTGGATGGACACATAATATATGCCTAACATAAGTATTCCATTTTTGTTTTCTTCAAGATGATGGCACAGGTGTTTAGGATGGAGGAGCCATACGCAGGTGAAAATTCTCTGGTACAGGTGAACTCAGTCTTGCATGATGGTGATGTCGACCAACGCCACCAAGTCAGTGTGAATGTTGTAAAGTGGATTCCAAGCCCTGGAGCTGGCATGGTCTACGGCACAAATAAAGGCGACCTTAGAATTTGCGTTGCCAGGTTAGTAGTAGATTTTACTCTACATTTCAGGTGTACCTGATTATGTGAATGATGATGGATGTTAGAAGCAACTCATGTGAGGGGGTGGATGCCAAATGCCTATAGTAACTTATTACCTGGGTTTAATCATTGCATTTCCTGTTACCTAGCACTAAATTTTATTTCAATACTTGGAGTATTTATTATACTTTCTTAACTGAGATTAGTCAGTGGAGCTTTAGGTTTTAGCACTGAAGTATTGCTCAACAAGTCTTCCCCTTGAATGATTGCAAATTTTTTGTTTGTTTGTTGTCATAAGTACATTCTTTTGAAGGAAGCCCTCTGGCTCATGGTAGTGCTTTCTGAGATAGAATTGCTTTCCAACGAAACCCCCGAGTCGGACCTCTTGCTGTTCTATAATATTTAATACTAGTAAATGCAGTATTTTATGTGGAACATAGAATTGTATACAGTATAATTTTATTTTATACATAATCTTTTTATAAAAATATATTTATATATATTAATATATACTTATACTTATTTGTTTAGCGCTCCAACAGTGGATGATGATTTGAATCAGTTATTTTGGAGACAGAGTGCAAACGGGAATGGAGATATGTACAGTCGCTATAGCATAGACCCCGCGCAGCGTGCCCGTCTCTACAACGACATCAGCCTGATGGCGTTAGGTATCCAATTCCCGGATGATCAGGATAATAACAGAACAGAGACTCGGCTGTTACAAGTAGCACGCTCTACTCAGACAGGTGAGGAATATGAAGTGAATGACAGACAGAGCACTTCAACGCAAACAGAGCAACCACTGAGAGAAGCCCTAAGTCAGCCAAGCCAGCTTCATGGTAGTGCTAGCAGGGAAGTTGATGAAGTAGGGGTGCCCTCAATTGAATATCCAAACCTAGCTAGGCCTAGGGTAGAACATGAATCAGTGGAACAACCAGATGCTAGGGTAGGTGGATCCGACGACAGGGGTGATGTGTCAGAGAGGCAAAATCAACAACAAAATGATGAGAGCAGGGACCACGAGACAGGAGAAAGTGTTTAGTTTACATTATTAGGAAATTAACATTTCTGTTGATGAAACCCTAGAGAATTACTGTGTTATCTTACATTGGTATGTGTTATTTATTTTATTTTATTATTTACAGCAAAAATAAACAAGTACAAAACATGTTTGTAAACTAATACTGTATGCTATACTTTCATGATAGGGCATTTTTATTTGCAGTGTGTGCATAAACATAAGCTGTTACACATATATATTAAGTTTCTATATTTTTGTTTATGTAATTCAAATTTTTTCTTTTGGAATGATAGTTTCCTTCATGGAAAAATAATGAATGTTGATTTTTTTTTATAATAATGATCATTTTCATTATTATGTAATTACGATTGAATCCAAAATATACCTGCCTCAAAAAAATTCCAGTGCAATGTAGGCTACCTTATGTGTTCTTGTCATGAAAAAAATTAAAGAAATGTGTATTGTAACCCAGATGCCTATAGGATAACAGTTTTGATATAGATTGGGTAAACCATTTGAATATGAACATGTTTGTGGATGATATGATATAACTATCTCAATCAAGGGGTGATGGATACACTATAGTCATTCAGTGGCAGATTTACAGGGGGTGTGATTGCCATACCCCGCCTCCCCCTTCCTATTATTGTATTTTTAAAATCTTGTAAAGCAAAAAAAAAAAAAATTTCCATGCTAAATAGTAAAAATCTATAAACCTGCTAGAGTTTCAATAAGGATTTTCCTTCCTTGCAACTCCTGTCTCTTCCCCCCACGGCCAAAGAATCTTATTTATTCTCTCTTCCGCACCTAAATTCTAATGTGTTTATTAATCTTCTTGCATTTCTTAAGCCCTTTGCAGACAGGTGTATCCAGCAATCAGGCCTGTGCGGTAACAGCTAATGTGTGAACAGATCTTAAGAATGAAGTTAATCTAATGAATGGACAGATATGTTAGTTCCCGGGGTTAGTCTATTGTGTATAAAAAATAATGACAATAATTTCAGACATGGGCCTAAAGCATGATTTATTTAGTAAAAACAAATATTGGGTTATTGTGAATAGACCGTAGGGTTGAATTGATTAGTTCATGTTGTCTCTCGCTATACAACAATGAATTTATTGGTCCAGTTTTAAGGATCCTTGTATCTCTGTTATTTTTGTCAATACCGTAGTTAATTGAAAATGTTAGTTTTAGGTACTTCTTATTAAGTACAGTATCCCTTTGTATAAATTCATCAATATGTTGTATACTATAAATATTGAGTTTATTTTTAAAAAAATATTTCATTTACTGTAAGTGTGAAGTTTAAATTTGGGTTTTAGGGATGTTGTTATTACCTCAAATTGTTTGATTCTGTCATCTTTTTTTTTTTATACCAAATGTACCTGACGGTACAAACATAAAACACTAGTGGTGCTAACAACTTCCAGGATGATATTGACTGCAGTGCATTTTCAGTAATTGCTTAAAAATTTGGGGGAAAAAAAGTTAATTTGGGTTCAGGAAAAAAGTCTTTCTGACCTAATTATTTTGACCAGATTAAAACATGGGAGTTATACATTCATACCTGGGGGGATAGAGTGGGGTGAATTATTAAGGTGTATGAGGGCACTGTCTGTGATGCATTCATTGTTTCATGGTGATCAAATCAATATTTCTTTACAAATTAAATTATATTTCTCAACTTAATTTAGATTTGTGTTGACAAGCTTCTTAATAAACATTATAATGTCAAAACATGCTTCTGTTAATTTTTTCATTGTATGACACAAAGCAATTACTGTATAACACATGCCTCCACCAAAGGAGGTTATGTATTCACTGCTGTCTGTTTGCAAGATTACAGGTATGCAAAAACTATGGAATGGATCATAAAATTTAGTGGAATAGTACGTAATGGGCTAAGTGTGTTGTCAAGAGAATTTCAATAAATAACTAAATTAAATAAGGGTCAAATTTAATTTAAACTTTTTTTACCCTCGAGCAGTAAACAGTATTCAGGAACATGGCGGAAAAAAATGTACTGCATCTGTATGGCAAAAATACCTTCACAAATAAACAACATACTGTACTAACTACAGTATATTTTTTGACAGCAATTTACTTTTTATAATTCCTATTTAATTCCTTGCTCTTTGATTGGTTGACTCTAGGATCCACTTTGAAGTGTACTTTGCAATGCAAACGTGAAGGATTGTGTCACTTGCTCTTGCAGGTTCCTGAGATACAGTGACGTATCTAGAAGTCTTGAAATGGGGGTGCCTGATGGGGGCCTTGAAGGTGAAGTCAGGGCTCGATCAGTTGAAGGGCGCTAACTCGCACAATAAGGTGATTATCAACTACAGGTACTTGCTAGTTATTTTTGGGTGGTGACTGGCTGGCAAGAGTAATTTTTAGAGGGGCGCATCCCCTAGATACGCCACTGCTGAGATGGTTGGTCACTTCTTGAAAGACAGAGATGATGTGGATTGATTCTTCAAGAGAATTCATTCCTTTGTCCTTGGAAAAATATATAACTATCTTAACTAGTAGTTGGTCTAACATTTTTAGTTAATTGTCCTATTCACCAATGAACTGCTGTATGCCTTGTTGGACAGAACAATCCATCCATTACCTTATGAAAATATTACATTCCACTGTACACATACACATTCATTATTTGTATAATAGAATTAAACCACAGTTAAAGAGTATTTCCTTCACATTCATCCTTCTTTGTTGATAATGCAAATAGCCTGAGCTTTCTCCAGTGATTGGCTGTGACTGTATTTAGGCCTATGACACATAAAACTGTCAATTACTGTAAATATATATCTTAATTCAAGCCAATGACACAACAATACTGTATAAAAACAAAATTAATTTCAAAAGTTCTTTAATATACAAAAGTACAACAATCAACAACATAACTACTTAAATATGGTATGTTGCTATTAGTGTTATATTTTGATTACAAATAATAACACCACCCTTGCCTTAACTAATATAGGCATCCAGAAAGTCGTTAATATTGTGCAAGAATCCAACAAATGTATTCCATGACTAAAGTAAATCTGTATACAGTACATATATATACTGTAGTGGTGCAGCTAACTAGTACTGTATATGATGGTTGTTTTAGAGAGACTATCAAAAACATATGATGACAAACTGCCAAATTTGTACAAAACATGTATAAAAAATCTGTACTGTACTTTCGAAAACTTTGGTATTGTTAAATTTTACTCATTAGAAAATCACTAAAAACTTACTTTACAATAACCTGAGATGGAATAGAATGCATTACTGCATTTTTACGGATAGGAAACACCAAATTTGCAGATTATTTCTTATTGGAAGAAATATAGTTACATAGACTATTATGTATTGGTAGAAAAAAATAATCCTACACAGAGAAACATACAAAGTTGCATAGATCACATTTCGCATTGGTGGAAAAGTCTGTCATTAGAAAGTAACAAAAAACATTGATTATTGCATATTTGTTGGAAAGTTGCATCGAACTAATTTCTTATTTTTGGATTGCATACTAAAGTTGCATAGATCTTACTTATTATTGGTGGATTGCATACACAAGTTGAACAGCTCTTATTTGCTTATTGGAAGAAATATACAAAACTTGCATAGACTTCATTACTGGTAGAAAAATGTATATATACACAGAACCGCTAAGCTCCGCGGACTACTCCTTGGATATTACTGCTAAGGCCCCACAAAACGATAATGTTAAAACATACACAAACATGTGCGAAAAGTGTGAATTGGATTGGATTTATTCAGTGTAAACACCAAGGAGTAAGTCTGGAAGACTTGTAGACAATCCTCTACTCTTTTCCGAAGAGTACTGCGTTCTTTAACGTGCAAAAGGGCTGTTAATGCACACGGGACAAACGGCTCAAATGTCTCATCCGAAAGACGGTGCGCTAAATTGTATTTCAGCCCTCCAGCTGAAACACAAGGAGAGGCAGTGATGGGAATTGAACCGGGAACCTAGAGATCTCCATGGTTCAGCGCACACACAATGGCTACCACCAGATTAGCCGACAAATCTAAGCTGCTCCCTATGATTGTGTGATTGTTTGACACGTGCATATTCCTGGCCATGTTCTGATTGGTTTAGTAGTTTGATTAACACTCATGAAAGGTCCACTATACAGTACTTACATCTTGCACAATGAATTACAATATGATGTATGCAAGTTTTAAAAAAAATGTACAAATACATAAGACCATAATTACCAGTTGGCATGCCTAACCTTACTAGAGTCTTACTAGTCTCGGTCAGGGCGACAGATAAAATCCCCAGTTGTGTGCATTTGGAGTTTTTTTGGCATAGTATGGACCAAAATTGTGCTTTTAGGAATTAGGAACTGGAAATCAAAATGTTATTTGGATAGGAAAATTAATATTTTTGGTCCGACGACTTAATTACGATGAAAGGTGACCCAAGCCTCTCTGACACCCTGCTGACATTGCCACTGGATCACACCTTGGTATATCACACCATGGCAGTACATACATGTATTGGATAGTAAGGTTGTCTTTACGGAAGAATACAGATATACAGTAGTTACAATGTCTTTTTTTATACAGCCATTTCCATAGTAATTTTAGGATGAGGCTTGTACCCTTGAATCTCAAAGTCTTCAAATTTAAAATCATCTATATTTTCCACATTTCGTTTGATGATCAGTTTTGGAAAAGGTCTTGGCTCTCTTTGCAACTAGAAAAAAAAAAGAAAAATAATTACCATTACTGATGTAACATTTAGCATATTAATCTTTGCTGACACATACGTATACAATTTTGAGTTGCTTTGTAAATTCACCTACAAGTTTAAGGAGAAACAAATACCATGGCCATTTTTGCTATCCTGGCCAATCAAGAAGCGTAAAGTTGACATTGTGAGCGTGAGTTGACATTCACAAAAGTGTGAATTCGTGATGTGTGATATGACATGATTTTACTACTACCCGTAAGCTTGGTCGTGTATGGTACGATGCATTGCTAGCAAATTCGTCATTATATACTGTATCAGGCGCACAGTTCCGAAAGTTGGAAGTTAAAATTAAATTGAGTAGAAGTAGTTAAACGGGTCAACAGTTGAACTCGGCTCAGGTCGAGACTGTTTTGTTTTGCTTGTTCCTATTTTTTTTTTTCTACCATAACTCGGTGGTTTTGGAGTTGACGCTAGCTTATTAACAATATCAATCATCAGTCAGTCTGCACAAATTGGAAAGCATGGATAATAATAAAAAGCACCGTTTCTATTAAATTTGGCAGTAGACACATGCTACCACTGGGAGCCTATTTTTGTAATTGTCAATATCTTCAACTTACATTTTTTGTTACAGTATTCTTTTCTCATTTTCTCATCTTGAGCTACTTGAAACAGTAGAGGGACCTTTAACTATCGAGATCAACAAGTCAATGTACTCACCTGTATCTTGAGAGGCTCAACGTGATTAGTATAAACATGAGCATCTCCTATTGTGTGTACAAAGTCCCCAGGTTCCAGGCCTGTCACATGGGCTACCATATATGTTAACAGAGCATAGCTTGCTATGTTGAAAGGAACACCCAATCCCTGCAGAACAAGAAGTAATCAATAGAATGAGATGCTAGATCGAGCACTCGATAGAGTGCATATTGCTTTACTACAATGATCAGTTTATGCATAACAAACAGACAGATTCACGGTGGTCGACAAATATATAGTCTGTTTTCCACTAGGCGAATTAATTTGCGCGAATCGAAGACGTCTGTTCGATTCCCGAGCTCAGATTGGTTGCGCATTTTTTTCACTTTGAAAAAAGTAGAAACCGTTCAAAATTACCGATTTCGCTGAAGAGACAACTCGGATAGAAATATGCGCATAAACCAACACTTTAGACTCACGCAAATAAATTCGCAAGTGGAAAACAGGCTTAACTCCATGGTGCCGGAAATAACCAAAGACGTAATAATATAATTCACAGACTTCCACAGTGTTACAGTTATTCTGTTACAACTTGTAATTCACTGTTGAATGCTGATGAAAGCAATATAGCCATTTAGAGAACTCAACAAGCAATGCTGAAAGGGAGAATAGATTCTTACAGACCACATCATAATGTCACCACAACACTTCTACTAGACACTCATCTCTCGAATGTACTTAAAATTAAATTCTTTATGATATAGAACACAGGAAGGTAGAAGCTTACCATATCACCAGATCGTTGATACAGTTGACATGACAACTCGCCATTTGACACATAAAACTGCACAAAAGCATGACATGGTGGAAGTGCCATTTTGGACAGATCTACAAAGCAAAACAAAAAATATAGTAATGTAATTAATGCACAGTGACAAATGGTATTCAGGGTTAGTTGATCAGATTCTTTGTAGGTACTGCTAGTAGCCTATTTTGTTTTATTTTCTACAGTATAGGGTTCGTGAGTATTCCCAAAATCTATGGTTAAGGTATCAAACTAGAACTTAAAAGTCAGTAAGCTTACACCCCCAATACAACACCTTAGACATCAGGGGTTTATTTAAGAGCCGGCGGCCGGCGCATTCGATCGGCTACTACGATGTTTTCGCCGGCTACTTCAATCAATGCTGTACAAAAATTAATACAAAAACCACCAATATAAATAGCGCAACAGGTCTGTAAATAACCTTATTTACCGACACGAAGTTAATTTGCAATAGTATGCACTCGTATCGATGTTCCTTTCTGTTGAAAGTTCGTTAAAATGTCTACCAATTTTCAGACTCCATAGTTGACTTTCATGAACTCGCGGCGTAAACAAAGTTAAAGTTCAAAGTTCGGCAGTCGCGCCTGGGTGAGTCCATCAAAGAAGCCACGCCTCCAAATCACATGTTAGCCAATGAGATAATAGAAATTTCGCCTCCACCACGTCCTCAGGTGACGACGATATACATCGCCCAAACTCTTTTTCCGTACATTGGGCTTCCGGGTTTTCTTACCGCGGAGAAGAAAAAAACAGATCGTCATTTTAAAATTAATTTATGTATGACTATGAACCTTTTATTTTCATTTCATTTTTGTTTTACTAGCCCTCTTTGTGATGACATAGATATTTCGGAAATGATAAATAATAAAAAAAAAAAAAACCAAAAAACCAACACTGGCTCAAATTCGTTTACACTCGGTGGCGGAGGTAGCAAGCCGAACCAACTATATTGCATGCTGTTTACACTCACAATTTCAGAGTCAAGCCAAAATCGTCTCAATTCACATAACATGAAACATTTTTTTCCCAATGTGGTATCCATTCCTTTATCTGCGTAAATTTTAGAACTATTTTTTGCTCTCCTTAGATGTTTCCTTCAACGCATATCTACTGTAGGGCATAGGCCTAAATGGTGAATCCCCAAAAATTTAAACATGTTTGTGAAACAACTTCATCAATATAAAAATTGTATTTTCAATTTATTTTGGTGGATTTTATTAAATGTGTATAAACTTAAAAAAGAATGTATTTCAATTATTGAATCAATATTCTGACCTTAAATTCCGATGTTAAGCTCGAAAAATTCGTAAATTCTAGGCATATTCTAACCTACTCAGTAAGTATACTAATCAAGGAGGTTCTGATCATCACTACATGTGATTGCACATGTACGTGCAACCACTGTGCAGTGTATACTAAGAAGTTCAAATGGGAAACTAATTCTCCGTCCCATATGACATACCACGTTGTTCAGTCATCATCAATCAATGTGTTTGAATCGATATTAGGCCTACAGGAAAATAATTTGTTAATAAAACATTGATAAACATTGTTCATTTTGTAGGATGCTCGAATATCATACAATTATGGAATATCATATGAGTGAGTACATGTGTGTAAACTTGTCTCTTTCTTATCTGTGCCTGGCTGGGAGCCAGCTAAGTCATGGTCCTATCAACTGAGGTAGGCTGCAGGCTTATGGCGCCTAAGTCTGCCTAGGCCTAGATACTGTAGCCTACACAGTGGCTGTAGGCCTATCTAACCTAGGCCTAAACTCACGATACGATATTTTCAGCTATTGTATGATATTCCTCTCATAAAATAAATTTAGGCTTTTTGAGATTCGCGAAAGTTTAATGTCGCGAAAACGGCCGAAATTATCAATTCGCGAACGTTTCTGGTTTACAGTATCTATTTAGGCTAGGCCTATATATGAAGAATATAAAAAATATCAACTTTTTTACAGCTCAGTAATTGATTCTGAAAACTGTTTTTAAAAAAATGATTTCGAGAAATGCCATCAAATGGGCTTAAAAATCTCTAAAACTCTGGAGTGCAATGGCGCTTCGCCCCCATGACCCCCGACCAGGGCTCTGCCCCTGGACACCGATGGGGCCTAGGCGGCCCCCCCATTCCCCCGGCCTATTTCAATTTACTCTCCTGTTACTTTCAAATTTCTCCTGCTACTCAAATTCATAAATAAACCCCTGGACATCCCTAACTTACTGGATTTAAAAAGCGATGATGACAAGTGTTATACATACCTGTCGGGTTCCATGCAGACATGATCATTCTACGGTCATTTGGGTTGCTCTTGATCAATTCGATCACCTGAGCCAACTGGTCAACACCTTGACCCGTGTAATCTGCATGCATATCTTTATATTCTGCTCCGAAGTGTCTCCACTGGAAACCATATACTGGTCCTAAATCACCTAAATTTTAAATAAATGATAAATAAATCTTTAAAATTGATTGCAACAACAATTGGATTTGCCAGATTTTACAGAAGAAAACCATTTAATTAATAAAAGAGAAATACAACTGGAAACCTTATTTTGACAAGCTATTTAAAAAATGATAAAAAATAGCAGGGCATACCAACTTCACGATGTTTAAGTCCACGATTGTCAAGGAAATTTCTGGAACCATTTGCATCCCAAATGCGAACATTCTTTTCACTCAGCTCATTACCATTTGTGGAACCTTTGATAAACCAGAGCAGTTCTTCAGCAAGTCCTCTCCAAAAGACACGCTTTGTTGTGAGCAGCGGAAACTGATCTATAAAAATGAATACTATGTGTCACACTGGTTATAATAAATTAAATGAATATATCATTCATAACTGATAACAAACAATTGCTACAGAAAATGAAGGAAAAATGTTTTAAACATTCATTTTCGCCTCCGTTTAATTGTTATTTTCATTCTTTATTTTTTGTTCCACTTGATAACATATAACATACAAATAAACAAATTAAAATATATTGAGGTATGTCAAGTAAAAGTGAAAACAAAAATTAATATAAAAAAACCCAAATAAATATATATAATACATTTTATAATAAATTCATGGTTTCCTGTGCGAATCCTACTCTAAATTAATTTATTGTTAGTTTGTAATTCTATATCAAATTTTTTACTGTTGTTTAATGTATTCCAATAATTATAACATAATTCATCTAACTGAATACATCATCTCCAATTCTACATTATATTTAATTTTCTGTTCAATTATTAGAAAACAAATCCAGCACTTTAACACTGCAAGAAGGCTTCAACAAATTTGGACGAAAAAATGTTATTTAACCTAAAACCCAAGACCTGTTAAACCCCCCCCAGGCAAATTACCTCTTAATGAATACCGACTTTGTGCTCCAAATATGCTGATGGTACCTACGCCGGTCCTGTCCCCTTTACGATGCCCTGTCCTGATAATGTCTTTAATTAAATCAAGGTACTGTAACTCATCATGCCTCTTGCCTTGTGGAAAGGTGTATGGTTTATTGTTGGCTTGGTTTCCATCTGTCTCCATCTTTTCAACATCACTTTCTAACGATTGATTCCCATCTGTCGTCTTAATCTTTTTGACGCCATTTTCCCTGTTTTCTTTGTTTACATCAGTTGGGATTTCATGTAATAATGTTGACATCTTTGTATTTTTACCCTCCAACCGCAAACATGGTGGTTTTCAAAGAAAATAAAATGTTATTTTTGGCCAGTTCCAGTAACCTATTTACCTTTGTTGGTGCAACCAGGGAGTGAAATCTCACACCAAATATATATTTTCTTGTCTACAAATTGCATTCAGGCTGAATTTTTTGTCAAAGGTTTTAGGCCAAATAGAAAAATTATTCTCACTCCCGCCTGCGTTATCTATTTTGGAAATTTCATTTTTTATTTATTTTAACTGCATAAAAACAAATTTGCAAAACAAATAAATAAATATAAATAAATATAAAATAAAAATAAATATATAATAAAATTGATGGAAAAGAACAAGGACGTGTTTTTTAAGCATTAATTGCACTATATTTTGTATCCTACTTTACTTTTATAAGGTTTATGAGAATTTCTTCACAAATAATAAATTATATTAATGTCAATTATGATTGTGATATTGATTTTAATAATCATTCACTAGTAACTGTATTTTTGGGGTTGGTTTTATGGTTTGTATAATGTACAAGATTAAAATATAAAACGATAGACAGGTAAATAGATGAAGAGCTATGCTCGAGAAACGTATTATTTCGACTAATGAAAATATTGGAAAGATCATACTTTATGCTTTAGCGTTATGTATTTGTGTATACATTGCATTTGCAGCCACTCTCCTTTTATAGGTAGATAGAATGTATTAAAAACAAATTTTATACCCACATCGAAAAATATGTTTATTAAAATTTTTAACGATTAAGACAATAAAATTAATTTACGCAGTTCTGTATTGATGCTTTTACTTTGTCATTAATTGAAATAAACTGCTTAAAATGGGCAACAAAATACGAAGTTGCCAGTATTGCATGTTGCCTAGTAACAGTGAAATCAGTAAGAAACATTCCAACAAGTAGGTTCCCACAACGCTATTGGGAGAAGCAGACACAAGGTCAGTCACCTACGGTATGTAGTTTGATTCTTTGTACGCCGCCAATTTAGGCACACTAATGCTGCTGTTACTAGACGAGAATAGCCGACTGGCTTGTTCTAGCCTACAAACATGTGATATATACTTTTTTATTTGCTTTTGCTTAAAAAACTTACGAAGTTTTATGAATAAATTCTGAACAGACATAACATGGATGAAGGAAGGAAACAGAAACGTGCAACTATTTTTCTAGATTTTTGCGCAAATTTTAATTGGTATTTGATGTATCCCCGCAAAATATTTTAGAAGTGGCAAGTTAGCGTTCAAATTTATTAAGATCTGCAGTAAACAGGTTAAAACCCCCCCCCCCCAAAAAAAACAAACAAAAACGTACGCTGCGCTATACTAAGGTCGCCCAAATATTAATATTTACATGGTATGGTAAAACACAGTCCTAGCTGACTGGACTTGGTTAGAGCACCACGCAAACATCAGCAAGAATACTGTACAGTAGTTGATCGTGGGAATCAATATTTTGCATGGTAATGGGACGAGAGATCTTAAACATGCAATAAGAAAACAATCAAATAACATTCACACACGATATAATGATATCAAGACATACCGTATATTTTATTTGTATTTCTTTTTTTCTTAAATTATTCAATTTCAAGAAAAGAAAACAATTATGCTGCTATTTAGTTGATTGCGAGAATCCACCTTGCTACAATCAAATAGCTGGTGAGGGATAATGCCCATATGGCGGCCATACAAATTCCGCGCGGCTGAAGTAGTCTTATCCAACAGTTAGGGCCTAGGGCCAGACCTAGCCTACATTGTTGAAATTACATACAACCTGGCCCAGCTATAGCAGCAGTCAGTGGTAAGTAATGTTAAGTAAGTAAGTAAAGCACTCTGAATGTTAAAAGGTATAGTAATATTATAATAAATAAAATCCAACAAATAGAATTTAGAACTCACCACCAAAGATAATGAAGGATGTTACCAGGAAAGAGTCTCGCGCGAAAATGATACTTCCCGCCATTTGATGAAGGTCCTTTGTTGTAAAGGGGTGGTTCCATTTATTAGGGGGGGGGGGCAGCTGACATTTTATTGAGTATTAATCTTTTAGTAAATATTTCTATATTACAGTATTCTGATATATATTTAAAATGTTCATATTTTTATTATCGTTAGTATTTGATAATTTCACCATATACTTATATTGACAAAAAAATCTCAGGATGTTGACATTTTTCATCAAAATGATAGTCAAGTCCCCTGAATTTTTAAGAGTTTTTGAGACAATAAAAGATTCCTTTGTTTTTTAGCTGTAAAGTTGTGTTGATGTGTTTGATTTTCAAAGGTTTATTAATTAAAATGAAATATTACAACTTTAACAATTATTAACAAGTTGTAACAAGTTTGATATTCCGAGATGTTTGGTTCGTTTCACACATGCACTTTCAAACCATGAGAAATCTCGGAAGAATAATGACTAGGCCTAGAGTAGTACTACTAGTAGTAGTAGGCCTAGGCTAGTTGTAGGTTGTCCGAATTACATATCAACTACTAAACTAGGCCTGGTACCGAATTAACACGATTATAATTATTCCACGGTCCTTAGCCTTCGGAGAGTAAAAGGAATTCAACTCCTAGCTCGCTTGCTGTAGTCGAGCTGACGAGAAAGATAGCCCTAGGCTAGCTAGGCGCAGTCGGGCCGCCGGCCGGTAGCTCACCATTGTTGTTAGAGGCAATCAGTTCGACAAGCATCATAATGATTCGCTGTCGGCGTATTTTACGAAGCCTCGTGATTGTTTCTACATCAGACATGTGAAATTTAGAGAGATTTCTTTTGATTTTAGGTCTAGGCCTATTAACAAATGGTAGTAATGTTGATATGATAAGTTTTCCATCGTTGCCACCATGTGGACGGGTATAATCAAAGATACTAGAAATACAAGATGGAGTTCTCCACACAAAAAAAGTGTTCCACCGTGTTCCACCGAAATGCATGGTGGGAATACGAAAAATGGGACGCCCCCTACAGCTGGATCTAAAAAAACTTGTGCCAAACTTTCGTTACCAAGTCGACGCTTATTTTATTATCAATTCTCAACAAAGATACTAGATATAAAAACAAACTGGAAAGACACCCAGACAGTGACATCGGTGAATACATAACCTCCTTGGTGGCGGTAGAAATCGTTGCTATTATCCAAATAATACACAAAACAATTAAAGCATAATCATGAATCAGTAAAGAATAAAACAACAATACAGGGCAGAATCGCATTCGCATGGCCGGACGCATTCTAATACCCGATTCACACGTGAAGTTAAATTTAACAAAAAGTAACAAATTGTAACCGAGCGATCTCCCGAGTTATTCCTACCGAGACAAAAAGCATTCACACGCGTCTGTAAGGTAATGCCAAGGTTGTCTAAAATTTATTCAGTGTTTATTCAATGAACCATTTTTCCCCTACTGCGATATAGGTCTAGCCTAGGCCTAGTTGAGAACCCCTGTCACAGATGGATTGTTGAACTCACCATCACAGTAAACATTCTTCTTCTACCATTACTAATTAACACCAATAACAAGGGTAATTCATACATCATTGAGAAAAACTAGGCCTATCATCTATTTCTAGTGGATCAGAATCGTATGCAGAAGGAAGAAAATTCAAAGAACCCCGTGAAACAGTAGATTGTTGTCGTGTTGAAATCCCTGCGCATGCGCAGATCCATCCATGTTACATCTCGGAAGCTTTCACCAGCCTCAGCGAGGCTGGTAAAGATTACCGAGATGCTCCGAGATTTTACAAGGATATTACACGGAGGTACTTTCACACGTGCCGTAAAATGTTACTTTTGGTTACATTTTGTTACATTTGGTAAAATTTTTGAGCCCACCATAAATGCAGCCAGAGCAAGGGCAAAAATCTTTATGAGAGGTAGAGTGGGGATAATTAAAAATGGTGGGGGGGGGGGCCTAGAGGGTTTTTTCCCTTTGTCATTATTGAGATTTAGGGTGGTGGTCATAAATGTTAAGGGGGTCAATTTTTTTTTTGGTCACCATGGATATTTATTTATTTATTTTTATTTTATTTATTTTTTTTAAATTTTTTATATTTTTTTTTAATATAGATTTCTCTTTTAAGAATCCAGGGTGGTAATCATAAATTAAAATAATAGTTACATAGAGAATAGTCTAGATAGGTTTAGACTTAAGATAAGGTAGGCCTACTGTAGTAATTGCATTAATAAATAGGTCAATTTGAAACAAAATATTTGGACACATACAACACTTTTTTTATTACAATAATACTTTTATTTCAACACTAAGTAATGAAATAGTATTTTATTTTCATAATCTACATAATTAAATGATATATTGGTGTTTTTTACAATTTATAACAGGTACAGCAGACATCTAAAATGGTTTTGACACTGATGCAGCTTCTACAAGTCATGATGAGCCTGATGTTCTCACCCATGATGACGCTGATGTCACCAGCAATAATGTAATGGATAAAACTACTATTAATCCTGAAATACAACTAGATAAGTAAGTATTTATTTAGTTTATTTTAGTTGGAGAATTACATATGAAAAACAGCATTTAGATATTAATACTTTATTCATAATTTTTAATAATGCAGGATTACAAGCAATGATTTTGTAGCTGTTGGGTTTGCAGGAACCAAGAAAGGAAAACAAGTTGTGTATATGGCAATGGTAAAATTCCTGAAATGACATTTGTTTATTACATTGACATACCAGAGTCACTAATTACAGTATACTTTATTTAAAAAAATAGATTAAAGATAAATTTTACAAGCATTCATCATTAGCTTTTTATTTTCCTTTTAACTTAGGTTACTGTTGTATTCCAAAGCAACCTACAACTGCAATTTATGCGAAGAGATGAACATGGCTTATACTATTTCACTTCTGAACGGCAGGCCACTCATCCTGTTAGTAACATCGTCAAAGCCATGGCAGGGCCTTCAATTGTGCAAGTTGGCAGATCATATCTGTACAAATTTGAAGACTTAACTTCAACATTTCATCAATATGAAATGAAATAAAATATAAAAATCATTATACGGTAAACAGTGGTGGCGCCAAGATTTCCCCGATGGCAGGGCGATGCACCTGACAACAATTTTCACTTTTCAATTTGACAAGCAAAAAAAAATATTTGTCCTCTTCAGGTCGATTTAAAGGCATTTAAGGGTCTGTTGTGTACAGATTTCACAGGAGATATTTCGATTTAAAGTTGCTGTTGTGTTGTGTTCATTTTTCTGGTGTTCTTTAAGAATATGATTATTTCATAATTTCATCCTAATTATATAGACCATTTCATCGGTTCTATTTTGAAACAGCGCCGCCAAAGTCTGGCAACTCCCTGGGGGACTTCTGAGAGCGCAGCGCAGGCAATGGCAACTACGCAGCGTGAACTGCGTAGGCCTCTGGAAGTCCCCCAATGGTGGTTGCCAGGTTATTGGAAATTTTAATTTCAAATTTTGTGAAAATGGTCTATAACCTACTTTGTAGTAATGTACCGTAGTCATTATTGCCTAGTAGCGCTATGATATAACTGAGTAAAGCTTAACTTTGTCCAACAGGATATCTTGCGTAGCAATAATACTCCAACAATATATAGAACATGGTAATCCAAATATACACCACTGTATCCAACTGTACAGGACGCAATGCAATACAATATATATACTCCAAAGCTACTTGCTTCATATATCTGTCTTGCATGGAATCCAACACACGAGTTTACATGAAAACCTAAATCTGTTTTTGGTGATGTTTTTGTTCTTTCAGGATATATTTTATTACATATTAAATTATAATTTTTACATTGTTATGTGATTTGAAAAAGTACCAGAACACAAATGTTACAGAACATAACTCTTATTTGTTTCTTTATATACCGAAATAGATCACTACAAAAAGTCACAAATAAATTAACATGTCACATACATGTAATATATTAAGCAATTAAACTTCAATATGCACTCTACTACTAAGCATAAAGTGTTTTTTTTTTTTTACAAAATTTGCTTCTGATTAAAATAAAAAAGAAAAAAAATCAGCATAATTTGGTAGTTTTTGATCACTGAGATTTTTTTCCGAATGAGATCAATATTTTGGTGTCCCCTTTACACGTGAAACCTTTGATATCTACAAATTAATTGTGAATGATAAGTAATGGATTCTGAACAGTTTTAAATGAAATTTGAAAAAAAAATATGTATGACTAATTTTGGTTTTGGTCTCAATCAAGAGTAACCAAAGTTAATTAATAATAAAAGTGCTCAAAATGAAATACAAATTTGGTATAAACTCTGATTTATTGCAAATATTTGTAGAAATTATGATACATAAACTTTTCAATTTTGGTGTCCCCATTTACACGTGAAACCATCCAGACCAGTACCTGTCTGAGCTGTTCTCGCTTAGAAAGGTGTTAGTAAAATAACTTTATTTCAACAGTATAACTAAAAGTACATGTCATGCTACTATTATATGATTGGTTTGAAAATATTTAATGATTTTGAAATTTTGGTTCTAATGTCTCAATTTGGCCCCCAAATATATGAAATCACCCAAGGGTGACATGACAACCAAAATGCACTGACCAATGAAAGATCACAATCTCACTGACATCACTAACTTGGCCTACCGACTCGAGAATGACATCGTTTACATTATAAAAATGGTAGTCACTTCTTAGCGGTCACAACAGTGAGGTTGACTATGCATATTTAGGAGCTACATTTTTCAACCGTAACTTATGCATACTATTCATAAGTGTTTAGCGAATCGTGTGGAATGTACAATAGCTGAGAAATGGAGCACAGTGCTACCGTTACTATACTACTGTATCAATAAACTATGATGTATGTCATGTATTTGTGACCTGTCGAACCCTGGTAGTAAGCTTGGAAATTTAAGGTAATGATTCAAATAGGAATTACCTTTAGTTTCATCAACCACTGGTGTTTCCTCTCGTCAAATTTTATAGTTTATACATAAAATTGTCATTGTATATATACTATA